TATTAATTTTTTTCTTTAGTTTTATATCTGTCGCTGACCAAGTGTCTGCTCAACTAAATGTTTACGTAATTCATTACACAGTCGTTTCCATCTCCATATTTCATTTTATTGACAGCAACCAGTTTATAGATCCACACAGGTGTCCATACATAGCAATACATACATGGATAGCGTGTATGTACGTATGTATGTAAGTGCAAATATGCGCGTATTCAAAAGAAGCTGTGTAACAATGCAAAAATGTAGTCAAGTTATACGTGAGAACCTTTATGCATTCAATAGCATTAAAATTTGTTTGAGTGTTTGTATATTCATATGTACATAAGTACATAAGTACATGTGTCGCTATGGAATCGCATACATACTCGTTAACTATACAAAAGACTTAAGCAACGAACTTGCATTTTGCTTGATTTGGTACAGGTGGGCAATTACACATATTGTCGCAAGGAAGCTTTTGTTAGCTCTGCGCAGTGGTTTACAATTCCATAATAACTAACTTTTTTGTATAGCTCATAGCTGGTTTGTTGTGTAAGTTCCTGGTACATTTGAATGATTTCTAAATGAAATTCGGAAGTTGTCCTCTTTGTTGGGAAAAATTAATCCGAATAAGTGAGTAAGTTGAAATATTCCCACTTGGCCACCAAAGTTTATACATATTTTCCCATTATATCCTTTTGGAGCGAGTATGTCCTGTCATCTTTATACATACATATATAAAAATTAAATGCTGTTCGTGTGTTATCGCATAACTTAAGAACGGATCAACGGATTATATAAAACTGGCTTGCTTTCGTATGTTATCGCATAACTTAAGAACGGTTCTAAGGATTTGCTTCGCTTCTATTACATTTTGTGTCTTTCTGTCTGTAGAATGAATGTAAAGAAAAAATTAGAAAACCGGTATTGCCACATATTTCAAATATCAAAACAAAAAAACAATTTAATTTACATAAGCCGCAATAATGTACTTTATTGAGAATGTATAATGAAATTTAATAAAAAAAATTTGACCACCACTCAAAAAAAATTTAAATATAAAAAAGAAATGCAGTTCTTGTGTTATCGCATAACTCAAAAACGACTCAACGGATTTGTTTCGTTTTTATTTCATTTTGTTTATCTCTGCCTGTAGAAGGTTTGAAAAGAAAAAAATTAAAAACCGGTGTTGCCAGATATTTCAAATATCAAAAAAAAATTAAAAAAAACCGCAATAATTATATTTCACCGAGGATGCATAAAAAATTTAATATCGAAAAAAAAATTCTGTAGGGTATTGCTGTATCAAAAAAAATAAATAAAAATTTAAATAAGCTGCAATAATACTATTCCGCTGCGAATGTATGAAAACATTTAAAACAGAAACAAATTTGCATAGAGTTGCCACCATTCGAATAAAATCTCATGTCACGGTGTTTGCGGTCAGCTCCTCCGAAATCGCTAGACCGATTTGTGTTTTGTGTATATTTGGAAATATATGAAATCAATCGCATGCTCATGGAAAAAATGGATCTTATTGGAAAACCGAATTTTTCATGCCGCATATCATTCGAAGTGTTCATGATAGAGTACTGGAGCTTGGTAGGGATATATATGAAATCAATCGCATACTCTTGGAGAAAATTTGGAGCTATTGGAAAACCGAATTTTTCATACTGCACATCTCTGGAAGTGTTCATGGTTGAGTACACGAACTATATGTTAGTATTGAGACAAATATGAAATCAATCGCATACTCTTGGAGAAAATTTGGAGCTATTGGAAAACCGAATTTTTCATACTGCACATCTCTGGAAGTGTTCATGGTTGAGTACACGAACTATATGTTAGTATTGAGACAAATATGAAATCAATCGCATACTCTTGGAGAAAATTTGGAGCTATTGGAAAACCGAATTTTTCATACTGCACATCTCTGGAAGTGTTCATGGTTGAGTACACGAACTATATGTTAGTATTGAGACAAATATGAAATCAATCGCATACTTTTAGAGTAAATTGGGGGATATTTAAGAAGGGGGCACGGCGTCTCTCCTCTTTGGATGTATATACATATAATACTTCTGTTCGTGATATTTAAAAATAAAACTAGGAGAATCTTGAAATATTTGTTTAACTAGTTTTTTATTAGCTTCCGGCTCAACGTTTTGCCAACGCTCATAAATTTGCTAATTTAAAGACTCACAATATATGTATGTATGTACATATAAATATATATGTACATGTACATATGGGTGTATGTAAGCGAGTGAGCATAGCAATCACATAAACTTCTATAAACAAAACAAGCGCTTATATTTAAAACGCGTTGAAATTTAAAATCGCAAATTCAAAGCACCAAACGAGTCACTTATGCTAATCAACAAATATAAAAACTAAAGAAAATAAAAACCAAATAAATTATAATTATAAATTATAAAAGATTGGTTAAATGAGAAGAAGCGCGTGCTATATATATTTTTTTTATTTGAATAAGCCCCAAACCTGACGCTGAGAGTTAGCTTTGTGTTATTCAATTGGCGTTTTGTGTCAATTATTCGAGACGAAGGACGTTTTGGATAAAATTAAACTATTTCTCTTAAAGTAAGCTTTCGAATAATAACACACAAATATTTTAATTAAATGAGATATTTACATATGTAAGTATGTATGTATGTATGTATATATGTGTATTAGGGTGATTCACCAAAAAAAGTGGCGGTTTACCACCGGAATTATATAGCCTATTCTATTTTGAGACTGTCGCCATAACATTTCGGTAAAATATTAAGATTTACTTGAGCAGTGGCTCGAGCTCAAGAACTACCCCTAGTGTTGTCGTAATGCATACACAGGCAAGATTTTGCAGTTTAGTGAGACACTGTCATGCGGCACAGAGTTCTATTTTGGAAAAAAAACTGATAAAATCAAATATCTCTAGAACGAGAAGAGATTGCGAAATAGATGTTATAATATTTTAAAAAAATTTTGATGGGGAATTCACTAAAAATAGTGTCGTCGGGAAAAATAATTGCCTTGACTTTCAAAATTACCTTCAAATATAGAAGGTTTTAATTTTTTTCTATTTTGACCTAAAAGAAGTAGACGATGAACTTTTTAAAAGCTTTAAGCAAATACTTTTGCTGTTCCTGTTGGAATCTATTTCCATTGTAATAAGAACGAAAAAATTAATTTAAAGCATTTGTTTCATAGTTCACTGCATGCGGTTTTTAGGTTTAAAAAAACGAAAATTATACTTTTGAAGGTCGGTTTGGAGGTCAAAGCAATTTTCCATGCAATCGGATCTTAAAAATTACCTTCAAAGTAAAATCTTTGATAACTTAAAAATAGTTTGTAATAAACTAAAAAAAGAAAAATTTTGCAATGCGTTTTCGGTTCTTATGACCGTGGAAATGGATTCTTTGACGCAAGAATAGCAAAAATACGTGTTTGGCATTAAAGACTCAAAAGTTTTTCTAAATCGTTGAAGCAACATGTTCTTTGTTCGATACACGGAAAACAATTTTGTTGCCAAAACACTTTTTTAGCTCACTTGTTTTCAACGAACTATTTAAGTCACCCATATTCGTAAGATATAACTTTTGTTTGTTATTCCTGGTGTTGTTGTAGCGGCTGCTTAAAGATGTAGTTACATTATGCAGGTTAAATGTACAGCAAGGACCAACCAAGAGGTGTTATTTCGGCGATCCACCCGGCTTAGATCCCTAAAGCACAAGGTTCATGGCCGTTGAGGTTATACTACAATTAAGAAAAAATATTCTAGGAAAATTTATTTGGCTAAGATGATTATGTACCGAAAATGCTATACGTAACCTAATATACTTCCACATTATAAAAGGGCAGTAAAAAGTGTAGTTGTACCTACTTTTCAATCACTGATCGTAATTACCTAAATTCGTTAAGTAAGGGTTAGAATGTTTCTTGGGAATCCGCTAATATTAAAAGAATCAAAAAAAAATTAGTTAGAACTCCAAACCAAGCTTTTCACCATTGACTAAGAATTTTTAATTTTATTTAAAAGTTATTGCTATCAGTAGATTATTATTACCAATTTTTTTTGCCTTTACTGTTTCCTTCTGTCAAAGCTTTGCAACCCTGTTCTTTAATGCTACAGCTGTTTCATGTCGAATAGGGATGAAACGATACCAGGCAGGTATCGATACTTTTATTTGGAAATAGTACCGAAAGAAAGCGTCGATACCTGAAAAATATCGGATCTAAAGTATCGATATCTACTCATAGTGACACTTATGGTAGGTATTCCGTATTCCGTATGAATTAAATAAGTTAAATTAAATATTTTTATGTCATAAGTTAACGATTATCGTGTTTGACCCCAACAGAGACAGACTTGTGTTGTTTTTGAAATTTTTATCGAGAATGAGTTCAGCCCAATAAAAAAATTTCCAAATAACCACACTCTACAAATGTACAAATCGGGTGATCCCTGCCTAAGAAATCTCGACACGATATCGTTCAGACAATTGTCGTCATACGTGATTCATGCCCTGGACTTCCCCGCCTTAATTATTTTCCGCTAGTCTTTCGCATGACGGGAGCTAAGCGCGCGTCTACAACTACGCGTATAACGTTGCATTTTATTCAAGGTGTTCACATACATGTTAAGCGCCTGCCATGTGAACGGGATCTAATAGTTACTCAGTGAGTTTTACATCGCGTTGAAACGTCTGTACTGAGCAGTCACCCAGTTTACTCTTCCACTCGAATAGTTGGGCATTATGTCGACTTCGGTGAAACAATTGCAGCGTATATTCTTTGCATTATATCGACTTTCTCGCCTTCTTGGGGTTTCTGATGGGAATTAAGCAGCCATGAAGAACTAGGCGCTTAGTAATAGCGGTGGATGAAATTTGCAGTAGCCAAATTTGCCTTAGTACCGGGTTTCGATACGAGTATTTGGTTTCTGATACCTACTAGTACTTGATTCAAAAGTATCGATACCAAAATACTTGGTATCAAACGAAAAGTATCGAGTACGTTCTTGTATTTACTCGTATCGTTTCATACCTAACGTCGAACTTTGTAATTTTTTGTTGGCAGCGAAATTATTTCCAATTCTAAATTAGTTATTTACTGTCATGTAAATAATAGTTCAAATGATTTGTAAAATAACACGGAACAGCGAAATCATAAACGACAACAGAGAGTAAACAAACTGGTTGGTCAGCAGTGCTAATAGATAACAAACCGTGCGTTTGTTTGTGTTGCCAGGCAGCGATTTGGGAAATTGATTAACGAGGTGATAGATTTTTAAGTAATTCTGAACTCGAAAGGATTATTATTTAAAAGCAAATTACCCGGAGTACAACACCATAATGGCCACCAGTTGGGACGTATACGATGACATGAATTTGTAAGTGATTTTCACGCTGTTTGCTGTGTTGGAATTGGGGCAATGCCTTGTGCTGGGGTAGCTATCGGTGAATGCATGTGTATTTGGGTGTGAGTTTATAGGGGAGGGACACACTTAATCCGCACTTGTGTTGGTACCATTAATGGATTAGCCTTGCCACTGCCAGCCACATGTGTAAATCAGCCACTTCTAAAAGAGAATTATGACCACTTGAAGCAAATCATAATTGATTTTATTGATTTTTTGAGAATATATAACTAATGACTAATATATTGTAGGTACATAACGCCAGAGCGTTTCGTTATTGAACCGAATGGCAAAGATGAACTACTGGTAATTGATCGCGTTGCGAGTATAGTGCGTGTTCAGAGTAAGCACATAATCTCATTTGAATTAATTGTACCACCATAATAAGACATACTAATATGATAATCATTTTAGGCAAGGGTAATCAACTTAACAATCAATTGCCCACGCGTCGCGTCTGTGGTGTTCTTGGCACCATACAACTGTTGGGTGGCCACTACTTAATTGTAGCAACTCATCGCCTCTATGTCGGCATGCTAAATGGCGCTATAATATGGCGTTTGGCTGGTTATGATATACTACCATACATTCCAACAATTACACACTTGCGACCCAAGCAACGTGAGCAAAATGAAACTTACCTTAATATGCTGCGACAAACGCTAGACACGCGTTTTTTCTATTTCTCCTATTGGTATGATCTAACGCATTCGCTGCAGCGACTTCATGGCATGCCACCAGATTTCATGAAGGTAGTCATAATACAAATTTGGCTTTGTAAAATTTTACGTTTTTTTTTTTCGTATCTCTAGAATGGTTTGTTCGAGCGAGCCGACGAGCGTTTCGTGTGGAATGGCGCACTGCTACGTAACTTCAACTGTCCAGAAATGCGTAAATTCGCACTACCAATCGTATTAGGCTGTGAGTTTCCCTGATATTTATTTAACCAACATTATTTGATCCGATTTTTAATTTTCCTCTCGAAAGTTGTTTCCATCAACCAAGTACGGGTAAATGGCCAAACGTTTTTCTGGTCTATCGTTTCGCGCCGCTCCATCCATCGCGCCGGCACGCGTTTCTTTGCGCGCGGCATTGATGAAACCGGCAACGTAGCCAACTTCGTTGAAACGGAACAGATCGTTGAGTACAATGGACAACGGATATCCTTCGTACAGGTAAATTAATCAGCCTCATTGCGGAAGTGGTAAATTAGGCTAAATTGTAAGACTCTATAACATTGTCACTGTCTACTGTCGTGCTGAAATAAGTAGACGACGAAAATTGTCGAAAACTATGCAGTGCTGCCAAGTTATATCGTTTCAATGGACTAGTCGAGTCGAAATTTTAGGCAATGACATGAAATTTCCGATACGATTCAACTCTCGAAAAACCACTTGAATTCGACACACCTCTTGCAATGAGGCTGAATGACATTCGATTAACAGTTGATAATTCAATTTGGTCAATATTTTTTTTTTATTCACATGCAGACCCGTGGTAGTATGCCCTTCTTTTGGCGGCAACTCCCCAATCTTCGATATAAGCCTGATCCGGAGCTAGTGCCTGGCAAGGACCACTTAGGAGCATGCTATAAACATTTTGAAACACAAATTATGCTTTATGGTCGTCAAATCGTATTGAACCTGGTAAACTCGTCTAAACATTCGCATATACACACATATGTAGACTTCCCTATATTTTTCATGTGATGCATTTTTCAGGTAGATCAAAAGCGTGCAGAAGGGACTATGGAACGTGCATTCCGAACATTTGTGCAACAAATGAATAATCCTAATGTACGTTATGAAGCCTTTGACTTCCATGCTGAATGCAAGAAAATGCGTTGGGATCGTTTGCAGATTCTTATAGATCGCGTGGCCCATGAACAGGACGAGTTCTCGGTATTCCACTTGCGCGAAGATGGTAGTTTGGTATCTGCTCAAGATGGTGTATTTCGCACAAATTGCATTGATTGCCTAGATCGTACCAATGTTGTTCAAAGCATGTTGGCCAAGCGTTCGCTGAATGCTGTTCTGCAAAAGCTGGGTATTTTGCAAATGGGTCAAACAGTGGAGCGTGCTTCGCCCAATTTTGAGTACATTTTCAAGGGGGTGAGCCAAGTCGTAGGATATTTAAAGCTACTTTGCTAATGTGCAATACTTCCATATTTAGGTTTGGGCTGACAATGCTGATGTAATTTCTCTACAATATTCTGGCACCGGTGCTTTGAAAACCGACTTCACTCGCACCGGTAAACGTACAAAAGCAGGTCTGATGCAGGATGGCATCAATTCAGCAACACGCTACTATTTGAATAATTTTGCAGACGGAAGTAGGCAGGTAAGTTTTTGCGTGATAACTTC